TTCAAATAAAATTGTTCTGATTTTTCTTTATATATTTATTTAAAGATTGCGGGAGAAATAGTAAACAGTAAATTACGTTTACTGTTTACTCTTCTCCCGTAATATGTGTAATAATACTTGTGTAGATTATATCTTGCGATGCCACTTATAGCAAGTTTATTATAGCGATTATTTACATCCGATTATTTTACTTACGTTGCACTTTTATCTTTAAGATATAACACATATAGTCAATATTCGATTTCATCAAATTGCATCACTAATAATGCAAATTTTCTTTTATTGGCAGTTTTACTCCATGTTAACAGCTGTAGTTGCAATTGCAGTAGTTATTTTATGTTTGTACCTTGTGTCATAAAAATGTTTATTTATAGTTCCATGCTTGATGGTTCTTGCAGAATAATAATATTACAATAATAATAAAATATTTTTGCTACACAATATTAAATTTACAAATAAAACTATGTACACAAATAAAAATTATAAAAAATAAACACGTACAAGTAAAAAATTAACTATACAATTACTAAATATACGAATATAATGTGAGGCAACGGGAACAGGCTCAGTATTCGCTGGGCATTATGCCCATCACTGGTTTTCATCCAGTTCCTGCTGTTTTGGGTATACTTTTGGTCCAACGCACATCAAATTTAATTGTGTATTAGTGAAAAGGCTTTAGCGCCATACATCACATACATACCCTTCCGCAAATTTTACAGAAGATCGAAGAGTACAATCTGCCACTATGTCTTGCGTTTATGGACTATGAGAAAGCCTTTGATATAGTTGAAATTTGGGCGGTGCTCCGGTCCCTTCGGGGGTGCCACGTTGATTGTCGGTATATCGAAGTGCTGAAGTGTTTATTCAGTAGAGCTACGATGGCTATCCGAGTACAGAACCAGAGTACGAAACTTATCTAATTGCAGAGTGGTGTAAGACCTCCTCCCTCATTTAATTTTATGTGTGTTAAATAAAAAGACATTAAAATAAAATATTATCTTATATTGAATAAAACTAAATTTACGGATTCTATCGCGTTTATTTAACTGATTTTACTTATTTTTAATTCACGACGTTTCGGGTGCTTTACAGCATCCATGGTCACGGGGGGCACTGAGATGTTTGACGTCCCAATATCATTGTTAGCCCGGCTACCTTCAGTTTTTGAATATTAATTTTTGGTCCGATTTACGCAAAACGAACTTACAGTATCTTGAAGTCTTGCAGTGGTATGCTTGGGTTTGGGTTTAATTTTGTTAATTATAGGATCCCAAGCAGATGGCAGCAACCAACCATCTTCTCTATTGAAATTAGGATGTTTTTTAATTTCAATAGCCTCGCGTATCATCCTTGGTAGGAATCGGTGTTCTTTTGCGAGGATTTGTGGTTTATCAAATCTGATAATAATAATGGTGGGGACGATCTTGAACATGTTCACAGACTGCAGACTTCCCGGAGCGTCGGTGCTTCACGTCAGCTATATGTTCTTTCACGCGGGTTTTTATGGATCTTTTTGTTTGACCTATGTAAGAGAGACCACATTCACAATCTAACTTGTACACTCCTGCATCTTGTAGAGGGATATTACACTTGACGGATGGTAGAAATTTACTAACCTTCTTCGGCGGCTTGTAGTATGTTTTGATGGAAGCTCGCTTCAGGATGTAGCTAACCTTGTATGTGATTTACAATTAACATACAGACATTCGGCCTAAAACACTTTTGTTTATAAAATAACTCCTTTTTAACCTATCAGAAGTAAATGGAGAGTCGACGCGGGACGCCCTAGGGGGAACTATATCGACGAAATTGGCGTTGATGGGCCAAATTAAAAGTACCCGTGACTGGCGAGGTTGTTGCGTAGGTATATGAACGCGAAACAGGCGAGAAAGGTGTGCCAAGATCGTGCGAAATATTAGTTGCCTCTCTGGCTAATCCACTAGGCGACAGGCCTAAGTATTTATGCATGTTATCGTGTGCAATGAATCGGAAATTGCAGAACTTGACGTTTTGCGTCTTTCCTTCGAATTTTTCTTAGAAAAAAAACGTAACCTACCAACTATTAAAAAAATTAATAATAACCTACTAACTATTAAAAAAATTAACTAAAAATTAACCACTAGGATTTTTTTTTGTATCAGTAGATGTTTTTCATGCAAATTCGAAACAATTACCTTCAGGCCATACAAAATACTTTCTCCGTGCCGGATTCGAACCCGCGGACTCGCTGTGCCGCAAGGAAATCTTAGCCACTGTGCTAAACAGTCTTTGACAATATCTCTCTTCGCCTCTAGGCGTATTAAGGTCTAGAGTAAATGGATTGGTTAGTTGGTTAACAGTCTCTTACGGCAACCGTAGAATTAAATGGAATGATTGTTTTGACTATTCTAAGTCAATCCTTATGTACTGTTTCCCCTAATGGGAATTATAATGATTTGTCCAATAAATCCTCTAACGATATCACAAAACTGTAACGTACAACAAAAAACGTGTATTACTAAACGAGTTAATATTTCTATAAAGTTTTATTGCATGATTAATTCATTCACAATATCAACTTAGTCGTATTTAGTGGTCTAGTCTTTAATTTTTAATACACCTATTGTCATCTACATACATTGCTTCTAGACTGAAGCTCAGTTCGTAAACAATCTGCTACAGGACACTCCGTTATTAGAGTAGAGCCTGTTTATGTGGTAGAGACACAGTGCAGTCTATCATGACCGCAGCACGAATGGGTGTGTTCAACCGGGGTAGGACCTCGTTCAGAATGAATACTAATGTAGAATAATACTGCTGTGTTTCGTAGTATTGTAAACATACTATCATAGTTATCAGGAATGACTACGTATTTATATTTTGATGTTTAATCTAGGATAGGTAGATGGTATGAGCCACAGCATCCACTGACCATCTGGTTTACGGTTTGTTGTCATCCTTACTTCGATTCAAAGGAAGAATTTTTATAGTATTTTAATAATTTTAAATATCGTGAGAAGCTATCAATTATGCATTGGAATCAAAGTGACAAAAGTATTTGCGTTTTAACCGACCCTAACGAATATATTGGCACCGGTCAGTACGGCTGAGTTTGTAACGCTTCTTCGATAAGAACCTATGTCTACTTAACACATAAAGTAATTTTAGTACAAAGTGTATCCGCCAATTAATATAGTACTAGATAAAATAGTTTTGTTTATAATATGTTTTATTCAAACCAATACCACTTGATATCTTATTCACTTGACATACTATATGGGTTAAGTTGTTCTAAAGTGCCTACAAGGCATATATGATGAAGATATTAAAAAGACGTAGCCCTCATTATATTATACACAATTGAATATTCATGACTAGTCTAGTGAATTAATAAAACTTTATGCGAATAAGTGCCTTATTATTATTTTCAAAACAACTATAATAATAGGATTATCTTTCTGAGTCTGTTAACAGGTACGGTCTGAACTGAGGCTCATCCATTAAAAGTTTAACTTTACTGCACCATGATAGGTCACGCGTAGCAAATCGAGAAATACTGAAGTGTTAAATGCATTCGAAAAATAACAGGTCAATGTAACTATTATATTTTTTTATAACTAAAAATATTGTTTAATTTTCTTTCATATATTAAAGGTATTAAGATGAAAATATAAATACCATATTAATTAAATACATCTTAATAATATACAAGTCATAATAATGTGTGTTTTTGAGATTTATTTCCCTGCCGGATGACGAAATGAAATACAACACAAAGAAGGTTTGAAATAATTCATCCCACTTTGAATCACTCACACAACGACGCTTTGAAAAGCGGTTTAGGGACCAATTTTCTCCTTCTTTTATATCTACATTAGGCTACACGAATCCTTTAATAACCCTTTGAAGTTAAGTTCACTTGTTCCAAAAGCAAAACAGTATGGGATGAGTTAACCATTATCAACTTTGAAAAGGGGAAACAGGACAGAGATTTGTATTGAGCCCAGTTGCCCTTAACCTTAAAAATTTGTGTAATAAAACGCAATATATTTTGACTGTCAATTATTTATTCGAAAAGGGTTAGCAATAATATTACAATATTTAAACTAAACAATATGCATTTAAAGGTTTTTTAACCATTTAATTAAAAGAAAATTAACAATTATTTTATTAATTTTCATCTCTCGTTCCAATGAAGTAATTGCTTCGTAGCAAAGAAGTAAGTCTACGTTTCTCACAAACTTATAAAGTAAGAAAAATGTTCACTACTTACAAACTTTCAGAGAATGCTGCAAAGAAAATTTGTTGGTTGAAGGAATAAAACAATTTTAACAAACAATACGCTTGCGCTAAAAATACCTTAATAAGATAATTGTGAGGTTTAACTTTTTCTCCAAAAGCACCACGCCTGCGCGGTTGTTAGAGGACTCATTTTCTGACGAGGAGTCCGTCTGAGTAGGTACTAATAATAATAATAATAATAATAAAAAGGCGTAGGGAATTGAAGACCCCATCGCCCGCTGACGTAACAGTTAAGTGACAAAACTGCTACGTCAACGCAGTCAGTCAGCGCCTTGCGAGAGGTGTGAGCGCCGTGCCTCGGCAGAATTTAGGGTGCAGAGGCCCGTTTGTGCTTATGGCTACACACGAAACGGTGCCGGGCCTGGGCGTCTCCCGTTAATGGACGCCCAAATAATGGATGATGGATAAGAAGATAGTGCGCAAAGGGCCGCTGCCTGGGGGTCGCCGGGACGCGTCTGGAGCTGGCGCTGGACGCAGCAGCATGCGGGCCGCCTGCCGAGCGCGAGGAGCTGCACGGTCACCTAGCAGCCCTCCGCATCCATCATCCCCACCAGAAGGCTTGGTGTCGGCTGGGTCTTCTCGGACTCAGCAAGCGGCACCCGCCGCTGGTGGAGCACGTCGCATGCGTTGGTCACAAGTAATGAATGCAAACGCACTGCGGGCGTACTTTAGGGCAAAAAGGGGAAGAAACTGGATGTTTGGCGTATCGGGCTAGGATGCATCATCTTTTTGCTGAGCTGGAGCCATCTTTAACCGTCACAGAGCAAAACCTGGCAGACCGAGTTCGGTATATCTTGCGCTCAAATATATTTGATGTCGCCGAACTCGAACGGCTACGACGTGAGGCTGTTCCCTCGTCGGATGAGAATGCTACGGCTGAGGATGCGGCGCCACAAATGGTAGAGCAACCCGCAAACGTGGATGCCGCCGTGAATACCCCAGTTGTGGTTGATTCAAACGATGATGGAACAGTCGCCCAGGAACTGGAATTAGAGCATATGAGGAGTACATTGGAAGAGGCGATTGTGGAAACGCGCAGTACGCCTCTCGAAAATCCAGGGCTTCCAGGGCGATTGTCTGAATCCAATCTGGTTCTGCCTCTCTCTGAACCCTCTCAGTACCTTACTGGAGGGCTCCGGGAGGGGATTTCAGCTACGGAAAGGAGGGACAAAAGTGACCACCTTTTTATAGGATGACTAGTTATTGTAGTGCTCCTTCTTTGGAATTGCTAAACATCACTTGTGAATTTAGCAATTCCATTGGAATGGAGCTTGGGACGGATAAGTGTGCGGTCCTCCATGTTGAAAGGGGAAGGGTTGCTAACTCTGAGGGCATAGACTTATCTATGCCCGTCAACTTAATAACCCTTTCCGAGGCTGAAACATACCGATACCTGGGTATGTCACAAAACATCGGTATCGATGAGACTGGTATGAAACAGTCAGTTTGCGACGTGTTTTATGCATGCTTGACCAAAGTGCTTAACAGCCTTTTGTCCGGTGTGAATAAGGCACACGCATATAACGGCTGGGTCATGCCTGGCCTCATGTATACCTTTGGCATACTCAGGTGGACTCGGACTGAACTTAACGCCCTGGATAGAAAAGTCCGCACTACCATGACGTCCCATAGGATGCATCATCCGAGATCGTTGGTAATGAGGCTGTACTTGCCGCGGAAGCATGGTGGTCGTAGCTTCTTGAGCGCGCTCACCATGCATAATCGCGAAGTGTGCAGCCTCCGTGATTACTTCCTGGCGAGATCGGATGATCCATTCTATAAGGACGTCATTTCTTGTGATAAAGGAGTTACCCCTCTATCCTTAGCCAACGAGCAATGGCAAGACCCGGCAGTGCAGAGCATTTCCACCTAAACTTCAACTTCCACATTTTCCACGGGAGGTTCTACAAGGCTCTACATGAGCCTTTCGTAGACACAGTAGCCTCCCTCCACTGGCTACGCTTTGGTGATCTCTTCGGGGAAACCGAGGGTTTTGTCTGTGCAATACAGGATCAGGTTATTAAGACCAACAACTATCGGAGATACATCCTAAAGGATGGCACCGTCGACATCTGTCGAGCTTGTCGCCATCCCGGTGAGTCACTTAAGCATGTTATCTCCGGTTGTTCGGCGCTTTCTAACTCTGAGTACTTGCACAGGCACAACCTAGTAAGCCAGAATTCTACACCAGGAGCTCGCTCTGAAATACGGTCTCGTGGATCGGAAATTGCCGTATTACAAGTACTTGCCGGAAGCTGTGCTCGAAAATGACCGCGCCAGGCTCTACTGGGACCGGGCCATCATCACAGACAGGACTATTCATGCGAATAAGCCTGATATTGTGCTGATGGACCGGGCACAGTCAAGGATATTTTTGGTCGACATTACCGTTCCGTATGACGAGAACCTTGTGAAAGCCGAAACAGATAAGCAAACAAAATATCTGGACCTGGCTCACGAGGTGACCGACATGTGGGGTGGTCTGCCGACCGAAATTATTCCTGTAGTCGTCTCTGCGAATGGGTTAATCCCAGTCAGCCTCTCGGGTCATCTGAGGCGGCATTGGACTACGTGGCGGACAGCTCCAGGCTCAAATGCAGAAGGTGGTGCTCCTCGATACCACCCGCATCGTCCGCCGGTTTCTTTCCCTTTCCCCCTAACCCTCGGCCGTTTGGTCTCCCCTGCCGAGGGCCTCCATCTGGTTGGGCTTTTATTTATTTATGTACTTTTATATTTATTTTATGTTATTGATATTTATGTATGTTTATCTTTTCATTTTCATTTATAATTATATATTTATAGAACCCAACCAGATGAGAAAACTATATAGATACCCCAATAATAATAATAATAATAATGGCGTATGGAAGTGACGACCCCATCGCCCGCTGACGTAAAGGTTATGTGACAAAACCGCTACTTCAGCGCAGTCAGTCAGCACCTTGCCAAGAGGTGTTAGTGCCGTGCCTCAGCAAAAATTTAGGTGCAAAGGCCCGCTTGTGCACATGACCTCACCATGCAACGGCGCCGGGTCTGGTTGTCTCCCGTTAAATGACGCCCACAAAAATGTATGATGAATTTGACTAGAACGCGCAAAGGGCCGCTGCCTGGAGGTCACCAGGGCGCGTCTGGAGCTGGCGCTGGACGCGACAGCATGTGAACTGCCAGCCGACGAGCGTAAGGTGCTGCACGACCACCCAGCAGCCCCTCGCATCCATCATCCCCACCAGTTGACTTGGTGTCGGCAGGGTCTTCGCGGGCCCAGCAATCCGCACCCGCCACTGGTGGAGCACGCTGCATGCGTTGGACAACCCAAATGAACAACAACGCAATGCGGGCGTATTTTAGGGTGAAAGGGGGAGAAATTGGAGGTTTTGCGTATCGGGCAAGGATGCATCGACTTTTTGTTGAGCTGGAGCCATCTGTAACCGTCACGAGCAAAACTTGGCAGACCGAGTTCGGTATATCTTGCGCTCAAATATATTTGATTTTACCGAACTCGAACGGCTACGACGTGAGGCTGTTCCTTCATCGGATGAAAATGCTGCGGCGCCACAACTTGCAGAGCAACCGGAAAACGTGGATGCCGCCGTGAATATCCCAGTTGGGGCTGATTCAAACGATGATGGAACAGTAGCCCAGGAACTGGAACTGGAGCAAATGAGGAGTACATTGGAAAAGGCGATTGTGAAAACGCGCAGTTTGCCTCTCGAAAATCGACCGCGACTTCCCTGCATAGCCCTAAGCAAGCGGAATCGGGCTATCGTGAGGGCTGTGAACCCAATGCTGGTGACCTATTTGGAAGCCAGCCGGGACCTTTGCGATACGGACTAAATTCTTTTTGGCGCCGCACTGGCAGTCTGCCATATCATAGGCCCCAAAGTTTCCACGGCTGGACGCGCTACTGGCCTAAGTACCGCTATCCCAGCATGGAGAAGAAGAATCGAGAAGCGTATCGCAAAGGCTAGAGCTCTCATCGGCAGACTGATATGCTTCAGGTCAGGCAATACCAGGCCAAGGATTGTGCGCACCGTCAGGATGGTGTTTGCTGAGACAAATTTTACTTTGTCCCAGCCGGATATAATGCAAAAACTGACGGAGCGCATAGACGACCTGAAGCAGAGAATTGCTATTTGAGGATAGCGGATTCGGCGATATACCGAGAGGTCGACACGGTTCAACCAGAATCGTCTCTTCCAGAGTGATCAGAAGAGGCTCTATAAATCATTGGAGCGACCAATGGTAAGTGGAACGAGCCCAGCACCGAATCAGGCCGACACTGTCTCATTCTGGCGCGGCCTGTGGTCAGAGCCCGTAAACCACAGCAAGGGCCCTTGGAAGGAAGTTGTGGTGAGTCAGTGTGCGGGTATTACGCCCATAGACCCCGTCATCATAACGCTGGACCACGTAGCAGAGGCGGTCCGTAGGGCCCCGAACTGGAAAAGTCCGGGGCTTAATGGACTGCATCACTACTGTTTGAAGGGGTTCATGGTGTGTTACGCTGTGCTCGCCCGACAGTTTCAAGAGGCTCTCAACCAGAAGTCGCTCTTGAGCCTCTTCACTACTGGGATCACTCATTTGGTTCCTAAGGACCAGGGTACCACAGACCCCAGCAAATACCGCTCCATAACGTGTCTACCGATCATATACAAGACACTGACATCCATTTTGAGCACAAGAATCACTCGTCACCTGGACAAAAGTCACTCAAAAAATGGATGTCGGGACGGAGGTCGTGAAAACAAGGAACCACTCCTCATTGACGCGGTCATTGGCAAAGTGGTGAAACGCAACCGTCGGAACTTCTCCGCTGCCTGGATAGACTACCAAAAGTCATTTGGCTCGGTGCCCCATACATGGCTAAAGGGGGTCCTCGAGCTGTACAAGATTGACTGTACAGTTCGAGACTTCCTCGGACAATGTATGGGGCAGTGGAGTACGATCCTCTGTCATCTAGGCGAGCGGATGACGGCTGCGAAGCCGCATAACCTGTTGCTTCAAGAGATGCTCATTTTAGATCGTACAATACCTACCTCCGTCCTACCTACCTACGTCCTACTAGTCCTAATACCTACGTCCGCTCCAAAAGAGCACTAATTAGATCAGAATTACTGCCCTATGAAAACTTTTTTTAAAACTATTTTTTCATTTTAAACAAAACCAAAGACACTATGCAATAGATAACAGTATCAAAGACAAAGATATGCTCTTTTATTTTAAACCATAACCTGGCAATGTTTCTTAGAAAAAAAAAGAAATCACTCTGAACTTTCGGAGTTCCACGTGTCGCTTTGATGAAGGTGCTCCGTCTTTTTTATAGAATTTTATATTTGTGTCTGGACTAAAAAACGAAAGTATTATACCTTTTTATATTCCTTGTAATATAGTAAACACGTAGATATATAATTTGTGGAATAAAAAGTGAAAAGTAAATTGCCAAAAGTACTTCAAAATCCGGAAGGCCCATTTTGGCGGTTGGGTCATAAATGTGTTATTTTTCAAATTCTCATTTATTTTTAGTGTAAAATGTAAGTAAAAATAGTTTTCTTACATATTTCAAATAACTTGACGTTGTATTTATTTCAAATTCACACAAAACTATTTTTGAAATATTGTTCGAAATGTCATACAGATAAAATATTATTATTATTTTTAATTTTTTAATATTTTAATATTTTGGTATGAGTAACGAATAGAAACACATAAAACATAAAAAAATACATATTTCCAAACATTTTCATATAAATTTCTCCAAAAACAAAAGTGTAGAATTCAAATTAGTAGTAATTTTGTCACTAAAATTGAAGTATATACTACTACTATGCTATACAGGGTAATTTATGTATTTTATTACAATTTCTAGCAAACAAAAATAATTTTATTCGATAGTTTATACATTCAACAAGAAATCATGTAAGTTTTATCCATAAATATTGTCTCAAAGTGAAAATATAGCAAAATTTGCAATATAGCAAAAAATTTTCTAATTTACAAATTTTCCCGCCATTAAGGTCCCGAGCGAACGGGAGTATAACATGTCGCGCGCTGTCCGAGCGTACATAATAAGGATAAGAAGGGGTATATTCCAGGGCGACTATCTGAGTCCAATCTGGTTCTGCCTCTCTTTGAACCCTATCAGTACTTTACTGGAGGGCTCCGGGAGAGGATTTCAGCTTCGGAAGGAGAGAGGAGAAGTGACCCACCTTTTCTATATGGATGACCTCAAGTTATTCGCCTCCAGTAGCTCCCATCTTGTGGAATCGCTAAACATCACTTGTGAATTAAGCAATTCTATTGGAATGGAGCTGAGGACGGATAAGTGTGCAGTCCTCCATGTTGAAAGGGGAAGGGTTGCTAACTCTGAGGGCATAGACTTATCTATGCCTATCAACTTAAGGACCCTTTCCGAGGCTGAAACATACCGATACCTGGGTATGTCATAGAAAATCGGTATCGATGAGGCTGGTTTGAAACAGTCAGTTTGCGACGTGTTTTATGCACGCTTGACCAAAGTGCTTAACAGCCTTTTATCCGGTGTGAATAAGACACACGCATATAACGGTTCGGTCATGCTTGTACTCATGTATACCTTTGGCATACTCAGGTGGACTCAGACTCATCAATGAACTTAACGCCCTGGATAGAAAATTCCGCACTACCATGACGTCCCATAGGATGCATCATCCGAGATCGTCGGTAATGAGGCTGTACTTGCCGCGAAAGCATGGTGGGCGTGGCTTTTTGAACGCGCTCACCATGCATAATCGCGAAGTGTGCAGCCTCCGTCATTACTTCCTGGCGAGATCGGATGATCCATTCTATAATGACATCATATAAAGGGCTTACCCCTCTATCCTTAGCCAACGAGCAATGGCAGGACCCGACGAGCAGGCAGGAGATTTCCGACCGGTAGACCGTATGGAATGAGAAGGAGCTCCATGGAAGGTACTACAGGGCTCTACTACATGAGCCCTTTGTAGATTCAGTCGCCTCACTCAACTGGCTACGTTTCGGTGACCTCTTCGGGGAAACCGAGGGTTTTGTCTGTGCAATATAGGATCAGGTTATTAAGACCAACAATTATCGGAGATACATCCTAAAGGATGGCACCGTCGACAACTGTCAAGCTTGTCGCCATCCCGGTGAATCACTTAGGCATATCGTCTCCGGTTGTTCGGCGCTTTCTTACTCTGAGTACTTGCACAGGCACAACCTAGTAGTCAGGGTGCTAAACATCACTTGTGAATTTAGCAATTCCATTGGAATGGAGCTTGGGACGGATAAGTGTGCGGTCCTCCATGTTGAAAGGGGAAGGGTTGCTAACTCTGAGGGCATAGACTTATCTATGCCCGTCAACTTAAGAACCCTTTCCGAGGCTGAAACATACCGATACCTGGGTATGTCACAAAACATCGGTATCGATGAGGCTGGTATGAAACAGTCAGTTTGCGACGTGTTTTATGCACGCTTGACCAAAGTGCTTAACAGCCTTTTGTCCGGTGTGAATAAGGCACACGCATATAACGGCTGGGTCATGCCTGTCCTCATGTATACCTTTGGCATACTCAGGTGGACTCAGACTGAACTTAACGCCCTGGATAGAAAAGTCCGCACTACCATGACGTCCCATAGGATGCATCATCCGAGATCGTTGGTAATGAGGCTGTACTTGCCGCGGAAGCATGGTGGTCGTAGCTTCTTGAGCGCGCTCACCATGCATAATCGCGAAGTGTGCAGCCTCCGTGATTACTTCCTGGCGAGATCGGATGATCCATTCTATAAGGACGTCATTTCTTGTGATAAAGGAGTTACCCCTCTATCCTTAGCCAACGAGCAATGGCAAGACCCGCGCAGTGCAGAGCATTTCCACCTAAACTTCAACTTCCACATTTTCCACGGGAGGTTCTACAAGGCTCTACATGAGCCTTTCGTAGACACAGTAGCCTCCCTCCACCGAGGGTTTTGTCTGTGCAATACAGGATCAGGTTATTAAGACCAACAACTATCGGAGATACATCCTAAAGGATGGCACCGTCGACATCTGTCGAGCTTGTCGCCATCCCGGTGAGTCACTTAAGCATGTTATCTCCGGTTGTTCGGCGCTTTCTAACTCTGAGTACTTGCACAGGCACAACTTAGTAGCCAGGGTTATACACCAGGAGCTCGCTCTGAAATACGGTCTCCTGGATCGGAAACTGTCTTATTATAAGTACTTACCGGAAGTCGTGCTCGAAAATGACCGCGCCAGGCTCTACTGGGACCGGGCCATCATCACGGATAGGACTATTCTTGCGAATAAACCTGATATTTTGCTGATGGACCGGGCACAGTCAAGGATATTTTTGTTCGAAATTACCATTCCATATGACGAGAACCTAGTGAAAAGTGAATAAGTTAAGAAAACAAAATATCTGAACCTGGCTCACGAGGTGACCGATATGTGGGGTGGTCTGCTAAACGAAATTATTCCTGTAGTCGTATCTGCGAATGGGCTAGTCCCAGTTAGCCTCTCGGGTCATCTGAGGCGACTTGGGACTCCGTGACGGACCGCTCCGAGCTCAAATGGAGAAGGCAGTGCTCCTCAATACCGCCCGCATCGTCCGCCGGTTTCTTTCCCTTTCCCCCGAACCCTCGGCCGTTTGGTCTCCTCTGCCGAGGGCTTCCATCTGGTTGGGCTTTTATTTATTTATGTATTTATTTTACTTTATTGATGTTTATGTATATTTATTTATATTTATGTTATTTTGATTTATAATTATATATTTGTGGAACCCAACCAGATGAGAAATAAAAAATAATAAATTTATTCACAAGAAATATGGTACAAAGATTGC